AGATTCAGTTAATTTTTTGCGTATGACCTTTTAGATCTGCTCCTTTAATTCTGACATTATAAAGCTACAGCATTATTCAGTGCACTCCCTTTTTCATTATGTCCATTTGCAGAATGAGTTGATTATAGAAAGAAATGATTTCACAGAGCATGGGGGTGTCACACAGTCACAGAAACAAGCAGAAAATCCTATGTGTTTACAAAATATGCATAAATATAAATACAGTGTGTAAAATAGCATCCCTGCATAATGATACTATTGTTCTGCCAACGAGTCCTTTCTTAAAAATAAATACCTTCTATATTCATTAGTTATTTAAAAGATAGGGTTTTGTCAGGATAGGTTTCTTTACTCCCCATGGGAAATCATTACCTATGTCCTCTAGTTCTTTTAATTTTTTTTTTTCTGATACTCTATTCATCTGTATAGCATGGAAGAGCCAGGTTACCAGCTTCCTGATTAGACATGGAAACCACTAGAATTTTCTTTTATTATAATGATTTAGGTGTTAAAGCAATTACTTCAACCATGCCCCTTCAGGCTAATGCTCCCATCTTCTAAATCTGAGAAAAACATATACTGAAGAAGACTGCATTTTGTTGCTGAATGCCCATATGCCTAAATGTGCAATAAGAGTACAGGTACAGTTTGTCTGCTGTCTTTTCTTCTACACAGTATGAAGCTAAGGGAAAATGTCATATAAATTGATCAAGATTCAATCTCTTTTCCAGTACTTCACTGAATCTTTCATTTCCTGAACTTTTTTTTCTTTTCTTTTTGATAGTGACCATTTACAGTTGTAAAACATTTCCAAAGGTAGAACTGTTTATTGCTTGGATAAAAGCAGTCTTTTGAGATTGATACACATTATGATATCGATTTACTTAATTTTAATCTCTATTGAGAAGTGTTTTCCTTCCTTTTTATGATTAACTGTCTTCATGATTAAAGGAATTGTTTTATTGTTACATCAAAATGTGGAATTTATTAGACAAGTTCAAACAAAAGCACTGAAACACAACAATTTCAAAGCCTGTTACTTTATTTTACCTCTTTTGTCATCAGAAAGTTCCTGATAAATTAACCAAGGTTTAGCCATCTACTGAAACAAATGGGAAAGTTATCATAAATATTTGCTAGATATTTTTCTTTACTAAGATCTAACAATATTTTAGATGCAGATGTTGAAATCCTACTCTCAAATGCTGCAAATTGCCCATGCCAACATGCCTAAACTGATGAGCAGTGTCATAACAACCATGTGTTTAACTCTCTTCATGATTCAAAGCCTTTTTATGGCTGAAATGTCTCACTGATGTCTGTAGTTATATTGCATGAATCATGATCTGATTGTTGAGGACATCGACAAGAGGTTTTGAAGTAACAGGGCCTGTTGCAGATTGAATAGCCAGGCTCTGCAGGTTTTCAAGCCCTTGTGCCCTGTGACACCCATGTTCCTGCTGTTATACAAACTACAGAGTATGTAATAGAGAATATGCTCTCATCTGCCCTAACCATGGGACTCCTAGCACTATGCTGTCATTACTTAAACCCTTTGAACTAGTAGAAGAAGGCACAATGTCACCGATTGAATACTGACATCTGTGGAAAAGGAGAAATTTGCCATTTGATATGAGGTACCTATGTTAGGTTTTGTACATGGCAGCATCCCCATGTTTGATTTTCTGGGTTGTATCCCACCATCACTTAAAATTTTGATACTTTCTCTCCCTCCATATGGCTTTGAACATGTTGAGAAAAACAGAGCATGTTGCTGTGAGAGTATTTTAATAACTTACTCGTTGGCTTCAGGAAGATGTAGTCAGATATTAAATAAATAATCAGAAAAAATGGAATCGGTTGCTGATTGTCTTTAATTGTAACTTTTGGAAGAGCAAAACATGCAGTAAGGCAGATGTTAACTAAGAATTACTCTTCTTTTTGAAAGGAAAACATTTCATGGTGTTGAATCTCTTAGTGGCATACTTTATTCTGTATCCAGTTGAAAGAATATTTACAGAGATAGTTAACAGCATGGTTCCTGGCATCAGTAATGAAAGCTTTATCATTTTCTAGTCACATATGTTAAGGAAGAATGTATATTCATTAGAGTGATTGCTTTCTAATAGCCTTAAGAACACTTCTACCAGTCACGCTAAATATGTTTTTACTTTAGTGTCACAGATGAACACATATTATTTTAATTGGGCTAATTGTGCATTTTTGTCCATTCACAGTATTGCTTTACTGTGGCAGATGGCCCAGTGATGTGTTATAAATACTTTGCATGACATCCCCTCTATTTTACTGATCTTCACTGTGACTTTCCCATTGGTAATGACTAATGACAGTTTCCTAGCCAGCAACTTTTAATAGATTCCATTTTTTTCTTTAATCTTGACCTGTCCTCAACAGCACTGTTTTGTTCAATAATTTAATCAGTTCAGCAACAGTATATTATTAGACAATTGAACCATTACTTTTTGAATTTTTGAAATGCAAAATACCCATGAAGTAATCACTGATGAATATTTCAGTATTGATAGAGACCACTCTCTCTTCTGAAGAAATGGAAACGGGTTTGCTATCTATGCTTGAATGCTTTTCCTTTCCTTTTATTTTTATTTCTCTTCCTTAGTACTGAGAGCCTATGCAGTAAATAGGAAGGAATCAAATAACTAGAAAAATTAACAGAAAGGATTAACAGTTTTGCCTACCCACCATGCCCATCTCAACCATTTAACACCAACATATCAAAGAATTGAGTTTATACAGAAAAAATTCCATTCATCCCTGCCTCCTCTTATCAGTGAAGATTTATCTGCAAAAGGGACACCCTGAGGCAAAACCGCTTCCAGGTTCATCCCATTTGTATTAGCAGACTAGGATGTAGATGCTGCAAAATCAATAGGGGCTCCTTATAGGTTGGTGTGATTTTTTGGGAAACTCATGGACTCTGAAATTTCTAGCCAGAACCACTCCTTTCTCTGTGAAGAGGATCAGATAGTCAGCTTTCTATCTTTATGTTGCTAGCAGCTGCTATGTTTTGCTAAGGGCAGTGCTCCTCACGCTCGCTCTCTTTTATCCGAGACATTTCATGAAATGAAGCAGTAGTTAAGCAGAGCGAGCGGGTGGCTGTAGGACAATTCTGTGATTTCACAGCAGTTTGTGAGATTTCACAGTTTAATTTCACAGTTTAATTGTGTTTCTTCTCTGAACAAAAAAATTACTTCAAACAAGAATGCCTAACAAGCCCTAACCAGTCTGTATTTTGAAGCTTTCATTGCAGAGATAAGGAGGAAGGACAAACTGGCTGAAGCCTATTATCACTCAGACATTAGGTTGAGTTTGGACCCAAAGTTTAAAATTAGTAACTTTATAGCTTTTAACCAAAAGTGGTTTCATAGAATCATAGAATCAGCTGGGTTGGAAGGGACCTCCGAGATCATCAAGTCTAACCCTTGATCCACTACCACCATGGTTACTAGACCATGGCACTAAGTGCCACATACAGTGTCATCTTAAAAACCTCCAGGGATGGAGAATCCACCACTTCCCTGGGAAGCCCATTCCAATGCCTGATTACCCTCTCTGTAAAGAATTTCTTCCTAATATCTAACCTAAACCTCTCCTGGCAGAGCTTAAGACCATGTCCTCTTGTCTTACTGATAGTTGCCTGGGAGAAGAGACCAACCTCCACCTGGTTACAACCTCCTTTCAGGTAGCTGTAGAGAGTGATGAGGTCTCCCCTGAGCCTCCTCTTCTCCAGGCTGAACAACCCCAGTTCCCTCAACCTCTCCTCACAGGACTTGTGCTCAAGTCCCTTCACCAGCCTCGTTGCTCTTCTCTCGACCTGCTCCAGCACCTCAATATCCTTCCTGAACTGAGGGGCCCAGAACCGGACACAGTACTCGAGGTGTGGCCTCACCAGCACTGAGTACAGGGGAAGAATCACTTCCCTGGACCTGTTGGCCACACTGTTCCTGATACAGGCCAGGACGCCATTGGCCTTCTTGGCCACCCGGGTACACTGCTGGCTCATGTTCAGCTTCCTGTCAATCCAAACTCCCAGGTCCTTTTCTGTCTGACTGCTCTCCAGCCACTCTGTCCCCACTCTGTAGTGCTGCATGGGGTTGTTGTGGCCAGAGTGCAGGACCTGGCACCTGGCCTTGTTGAACCTCATCCTGTTGGAATCAGCCCAACTCTCCAACCTGTCCAGGTCCCTCTGCAGAGCCCTCCTGCCTCCCAGCAGATTAACACTCCCTCCCCAACTTGGTGTCATCTGCAAATTTGCTGATGGTGAACTCAATCCCCTCATCTAAGTCATCAGTAAAGATATTAAATAGAACTAGGCCCAACACTGATCCCTGGGGGACACCACTAGTTTCTGCACACATAAGCCTCTCATAACTTTCCTTTCGTCTTCTCTCCCCCACCACAGAGTGATATAGGAAGTTCAACCTAAAAATGCTTTTTTAAGGCAACACATGTATGTTAATGCAGCTACCCACCTGAATTTCAAAACTATTCAGCAGTTTGCTTGTAGGTGCTTAACTGTGCTTGCTAGCATCAGGCAGCCTCTTGGTATATTGATGCTTACTCAGTGTTGCTGCTATTAATAGTGATTTCTTTCACCTACTGAATGTCGATCCTGAGAGTTTTAATTAAATCTGCCTTTTCTCAGAGAAGCTGCTGAAGTCACATGATGGGACAAATTCTGCCTTTTGCATACTGCCAGTGAATCCATCTGAGGGATTATGCATGTAGGTCCAGTAAGAGAAGGGAGTCAGTCTGGTCTGTTACAAAACCAATTCATATTCAGTTGCAAAAAGAAAGAAATGTGGAAATGCAGAAGAAAAACTTCTCTTTGAATGAGGAGAGGAGAGCTGACACCCTTTAGAAAAAAAGGAAAATAGAATGGTTAAAAGTTTATTGTTTGCTGGTACTAAAAACTTTCAGGGAGACTTAATGCCAAACGTTTTATTTTTTCCCTCTGACAGGCACAAGCATATTTACTGTTTATGAAGCTGCTTCTCAGGAAGGCTGGGTGTTCCTCATGTACCGAGCAATCGACAGCTTTCCCCGATGGCGTTCATATTTCTATTTCATCACCTTAATTTTCTTTCTGGCCTGGCTTGTTAAGGTACTTAAAAATATGTCTTTTTAAAACAGTTTGAAATGTAGATCATATTAGAATTAATATCTTCTCTTTTCTGCTTGCTGAGCTGTTATGTCAGCCATTCTTTCTTGTTCTGGTTTTCAGAATGTTTTCATTGCAGTCATCATTGAAACGTTTGCAGAAATTAGAGTGCAGTTCCAGCAGATGTGGGGGTCCAGGAGCAGCACTACTTCAACTGCTACAACCCAGGTGAAGCACTTGAGATGCTGAGATTCTCTGTGGATTTGATTTGGTTTAGTTTATGAATTAATAATAAGCAAAAAATTACTGTTACATATGATATATTTGACTTTGCATGTTACTACCTACATTCTAAAGTTGATATATGAATTTTCATATAAAATTTAATTCTATTATCCATATCCATGTAAATTGCATTATCCAAGTAGTCTTTTTAAAAAAAGAATTATAGAGAAGACTGTAATGTGGTTCCTTACATGGGGAGGTATGCTATGGCTGTGTTTGTATTTTCTTTTAATAGAGTAGGATAATAGTTTTATATCATGTCATTGGTTGGTTTGAAATTAGGGTTGCTATTGAATATCACTTTCTGTGCTAAGGAATAAGAGCTGCAATTGCAAAGTTGTAGCTGGAAGAAGAGAGGTCAGAGGGTAGCTGAAGCGTTTGCAGAAGTTGGTCAGGGAACTGAGAAGGGTGTATTGAGACCAGGGAGGAAGTGAGGTGTTGGGGCAATGAAAGAGCCATGCTAATAGTTGGGGAAGTCACAGAAAGTGAGACCCTGAACAGAGATAATGAGTAAGAAGAAGCCATGATAGGAAGGGTGCTACATGTGGGCTGCGTAGTGGGAAAGACCCAGTATGAAAAATGAGAGCTAATGGGCTGAGATTTAGATTCTCTCACTCATTATTTTAACAATCAGATTGTGTGTTCTGAATGTACAAAACACAAAGCTTTTCCAGGCTAATGCAGTTTGCCGTCTCTAAGAGGAACCAGTGCAAAAAAGCTGCCTGCAAAAAGCTCTTAGGAGGACAGATGTGAGAAATATGCCCATGAGGGAATTTTTTCTAACTATGTAGCTAGAGATTATTTATTTTCTTAAACCAGAGGATTTAAATTTTCAAAATTATTTATTAAATATTTTCTGATGTTCCTTTGGTTATATCTGTAATCCATATGTAAGTCTAGTCCTTTTCTGCCTGCTGCTACATTTTTGCCTCAAATAGACTTCATGGCAATAATTTCTAATCTATATATGTCTTTGTCAAAGCAGACTTTGTGATACCAATTTAGAATCTGAAAAAAAGCACTTTTCTACAGTACACCTGCCTAGCCTGAGGAACTTTGCTCATTTCCTCTCTGATAAGACAAATTCCTGAGCCATATAGGCTTAACCAACATACTCTGAACTAGAAGCTGAAACAGAGAGATCAACGTAGGGAAACACAAGTAGCAGCTAACATTAGGGAATTTCAAATACCCTACTGCAGACAGCCAAATGGTTGCTTTGTTCCTTGAGTCACTGATGTAATGGCACATAAAGGGAGCCCAGCTCATCATATTGCAAAAACAATTTATCTTTTTCTGTTTTAAGAAGGGCAGAAAATTTCTTGCAGGATTTCTTAATCAAAGCACCAGATGAAAGTTAAAACCCTTGCTTGTTTTGTGCATGAAATAACCTTGAGAAAATGCAACAATATCTTACTTCATTTGCCCACTTCATAAATAATTGAGCTGTTCCCCAAACGTATTCCTGTAGGAAAGAAAATGAGTGTCCAAGCGTCAAAGTCTAGGAAGGGATCTCGGACATTCTTGTAAAGCACTGCACATTAAAGCATGGTACAAAGAGGAGTAAGTAGGAGCTGATCTTAGTTGGCAACTCTTCCTAGTGCAGAGATGCTAAATAAGGACTCAGAAGCGTTACAACCATGTTTTTGTGACACTGTCCCCACTCTAATGAGCAATTCTTTCAGGATGACTTTTAAGTTTCAACCGTGTTCCTGTGACTGTGTTCTTGAGGTGACTTGAGTGCTGGGTGTCAAGGAAAAGGTGGGAGTGAGACGAGGACTTTGCCACACTTTATTATATAGTATAAGCAGGTGGCAATTAAAAATGCTAAAGCCATTCATTTTCTTTCAAGGACATTTTAAAGGACAGTGTTAATCACTTTCAGACATGGTTTCTGACTGTTCCTTATGTCCAGCAATCTGCATCTTTTTGTGTCCTAATTTCTGAGAAAAAAAAAAGTCAGAATACCCACACCTATGCTTCCAGACGTTATTGGTAAAATGTGAATACCGCTGTGGTCAAGAGAGCCTTTTCCATTGACATCATTAGAACCTGGAAATATTCAGCTACTTACAGGAATTATAAGCTCTGGGAAACAATACAGAAGGACTGTACAGCTACTCTTGATATGCATCAGTGCAACAAAAATAAAGTGGTCCTTGGAGTAAAATAATTTTTCCAGTAAAAAAGACAAGGTTGTCTGCTGTTGCCAAATACACCATGAAACTTATTTGTGTGGTCACAATGTGTTTGTGTTTCCTCAGGGATAAGCTTACCATTGTAAGGAATTTATTCTGAACAGGTACCACCATCTAATGACACTGATCAGAGATTAATTGAATCAGTTTCTACATTAGGACTAATAGGGACACATTGTATTTGATGTTATCTGAGTAAAATTCAGACTCTATTAATGTTGGAAAAAGCACGTTACTTTTTTTTCTGTAGCAGTGAGAACCATTTCTCTCTTATTTTAAACTAGCTATAATCAAAACATATGGTTATCCTTAAGGCGAATGTATTAGATTTCACATGTATTTATTGGCACGTAAAACATTTCTGACAACAGTCTTCCCTTTCAAGATGTTTCATGAAGATGCTGCTGGAGGTTGGCAGCTTGTGGCTGTTGATGTGAATAAACCACAAGGCAGAGCTCCTGCATGTCTACAGGTATGACATTGCTTTTTAATAAATCAATATGTGTAACCAGCACCACTCAAATGTTGCCATACAGAGACTGCAGTGAGAAATAGCTACAATAGTTTTAGTCATAATTTTTTTTTAAATTCATTGGTTTCTGCAGTGTAGACTTGTTCTTGAAAATCACAAATCAACAAAAAGAGATCTACCACACGCAAAGGGAGAAGATTAGAAAAATCCATTCCTTGCAAAGGCTCTGTTTTGTGTGCTCATGAGAGAAAGATTTAAGATTTTCAAGTATAAAATAAAATAATTAATCATCTTTTATCGCTCAGAATTTATATACAAATGGTTTCCATTCCTAGGGTATTCACAACAGAAATGCTTGTTTATTAAATGCAAAATACAATGACACATGCCAAGAAGCATGACTAATCATAATAAACACAGAAGGACCTAATTTCTCTTGTTTAATTGTGAAAATAGGCTCACAGAATAAGGGGGAAGATGGATGTAGGTATTAAGCCATACAGTGTTTGAAACTTCCACATTTAATATTCTTACTTGGATATAAGTGAGTTTGTAAAACTCTATCCTCAATGTTTAAATAAACTACTACTAAGTAATTTTTTTATAAATCCATTTTTAGTACAGAACACTGACTGTACAGCAGCTCAAATTTTTATTTGCAAGTTAAATAATATCATTTCAGGATAAGCAAACTAGCTTCAGAGTGGAAAGCCAAATCTACTACAGCAATCTGATAGCATGGTATTTTCCGGCAGATTTGGTTACGTTTGGTTTAATGTGTCAGCTAAAATACACACCCTTCTTGGCAGCATGTACATTGCTGAACTCTAAGCTGGCAAGCCACTTCAATCTCCTATAAAAGCTGTTCATTCTCAAATATCTTTGCTTGGCCAAACCACTGCCATATATTTGATTATAGCATATGTCTTAATGGATAATTCCTTTTCCCAAATGTAATTCTTGATTTTGACAGCAACAGGAACATCATTTGTGGTGTTCTCAAGTAACAGTCTTATGTGTGTGGATAAAATGTAGCTGAACTCACGGTGAGAAAAATTCCATATGAAAGTTTAGATGCCATCTGAGTTACCTGGACTGCCTTTGTCCATAGTATTGCATTTTTGCCTTCCCTCTTAAAAGCCTTTGTAACCAATTCAAAATTTAGCTCCACAGGACCACTAATACAAGTTATGTGATGTTTCTGACTGAGAGCTAAAGTCACAGACTACACAGGTAACTTGCAAAACACATTTTTTACAGGCTGCCCAGGGAGGTGTCCCTCTCTGGAGACACTGCAAACCCACCTGGATGTGTTACTGTCTCCTGCTCCAGGTGACTCTGACTTGACAGGGGATGTTGGACTAGAGGATCTCCAGAGGTCCCGTTCTAACCCTAACAGTCCTGTGATTCTTTGATTTTATGAGGATGTTCTACTACCTTTGGCTTGTATGTATATTAGTGTAATAATTTCACAGGAAAAATTAATGCACAACTTTCTTTTTTTCCTGGAGCTCACGTAAGTGCAGAACTATGTTCATACTCTTATCCATGCAGTAGCCTGTCTGTCTCTGTCCCAAATGTTTCGTGGTTCCATTTTCTGTGTGACAGTGAATCAGAAGTACTGAAGGGCAGGGTCTGATAGTCTCATTTTTCTCTCCTCCCAGCTTGGTAGTAATGCAAACCTGTGCTCTCTGTGAGAATGAGGGGATTCTCTGGATATACTTGGTAAAGTCTACTTGAAATGGGATAGGAAAACATTCCCTGTCCTCTGGTTGCTCTTTACTTTGCATGTATCAAATGACAAACCTCAAAGCTATTTAAAATTTAAGAATTCTTCACAAATTTACATCTTAAAATGGTAGATTAACATCTGTGACAGCACGTGCAGCATCTTTGTAGGTGCTGCCAGATTGAGAAGTAAACATTTAAGGGCAGAGCTGCTATTCAGGCAGAAGTAGGGAGGCCTAGAGTAAAGACCAGCAGGGACATTAGGTTAAATTCACTGAGGACAGGCTGTACTTCAGGAGGAACCCACTGTGGCAACACAAGATGGGTCTGGGCTTTGCTGGAAAGGCCCTGTGAGTCTTTGTAGAAAGCATGCTGAACAGGAGCCAGTGGCCTTCCCTGACAGCAGAGGTGGTCAACAGGATCCTGGGCCATTGTGTGGAAGGAATCCAGATACCATGTCTGGTTTTGGCCCCCCCCAGTACAATATAAGTACTGACAAGCTGGTGCAAGTTCAACAGAGGGGCTCCAAGATAGTTGGGAGGCTTACTGTTTTTCAGATCCCTTTCAGCAAAAAACAGTGAATTAAAGTATGCAAAAAATGTATATGGGCAAAATATGTTTGATTCTCCAGTTTTATGAGATTAGCTTTTTATTTCATAACAGAAAAAGGCAGTGGTTCTAACCACTCACATTTACACTTTATTTGCCCTGTCCTCTCCTTCCTCCAGTTAAATGAACTTCAATCATTTCTGCTGTCTGAATTCATAACTTCTTTTAATAACATAAACTGAAGTGGCTGCCAGTTTACATTATCAGATGAGACAGGGAACTGAGATGTCCCAGGAGGAAACTCACTGCCTCTTCAGTTGCAACTGCTACTGTGGCTAAAGCTGCTAGAGTTGGCTAGATGTTGGAGTTTCTGCCCCTTTACTCCATTCCCTTTCACCCTTTCTTCCCATATGCTATGTACAAGTAGAAATTAATGGGAGTCTCTTTATTTTTAATTTTCATAATGGCCAGCATTTACGATCTTCCCATATTCAACTGAGGATAGCAAGATTGGATGGGGCTGGACTATATTGTGCAGATTCTTCTGTCACCAACATGTTTAATTTGTCTGCAGAGCCTTCCATTTCTCCTCATTTTTTTCACTGCTTTTGCTTCACCAAAACTAACTGTTTGCTTTTACATTACGCTTTTCATACTCTGGTTGTTTTTCAGTACTTTTCGGTACCAAGTGCACCACTGAATTATCCAAGCTTCTGTTAACCAATGCAGTTTCTAGGCTTTCTAAATGAGAACAGGGCATAGAAAAAAAAGAAGTAATTTTTTATTTTTTTTTAACTGCAGCCTCAGAAGTTTAGGATTTGGAATCAATTAATCTAATTAATTTAATAATAAATTCATGTAATATACTCAAATAATAAACTCATTCAAATCAAAACTTAATTTTAGCCAACTGAAAGAGAAGATGTTTCTGTCACTGTAAGAGAGGATCTCAGTTAATTGGAAGAAATACATATGCATATAATTTAATGAAAGCCACTGTAGGTAAGAAGAGAATAGGATTGAGTAAGTTCACCTTCTGCTTTTGATTCCAAAGTTACACTAAAGGGCAAATTAGTACATAAATAGACTACCACACTTTTCTTGTTCACCAATAATTACTTTCCATGAAAGAGAAAACCCACTTATGCTGTTTTCTGTTACTCCTGCAGTGAAAATCCCTAAGTACTGTTTTGTCTCATTTATCTCTCTCTCATTCAATATATCCATTATGAAACTGCTAAACCACTCAATTCCTGCTTCTCTGGCCATGTCTCCTCCACCCTCCATATGTTTTATGTCTTTTGATATTGCTTTTCATCTTTTTGTCTCATCTTTAAGTTTCTCTAGAGTTTTGTCATTATACAGAATTCTTTAACAAACTGAGATAATAATACATAGCATGAAGGGCTAACTTTTTTTTTATGCAAAAAGATATGCTTAAATTTCTGACATTAATCATATGTTCAAAAGCGCTGTAGTCATAATAATGTCATTACTTGCTCAGATCATAGCTTTGTGACCTTCTATTTCTTCCCTAGGTGGAGCACGTATGATTAAAAGTGAATATAGTATTTTTAATCAGTTGAAGATTTTACTATCAGAGTATGAGTGCACATACAGTTTGTAAGGGACTGCTTCCGTTCATGCTGACACATCACACACAGCATTCTGAAGCTTTTTCTAAACATCATTGAATCTCTGGCTATGCATTTCATTTTTGCCCAAACTATACATTTTTGCACGTGAACAGGGAATTGTTGTCTAGCTTATTGTTTCCCACAGGAGCCATAGTTCCATATTTTCTCTGTTCATTATAAAACTATGCATTGAGAAAACTGCAGATGTCATTATTTGGTGTTAATAATAACAACCACAGTTTCACGGAAGATACGAGCTTAATCTCCCCAGTTCAGCTTTAAGTGAGTATGTGTACTTTAAGGAACAAGTGATAAAAACATTAGCAACCTCTCAAATTAATAGGAAAAGAAAACTAAAAAACATGATGTGCCTTTAAAAGCATAAATTCATGCTCAAAGAGTTTTTAAAAGGATTTTTCCTGGAACCTGGTGCTCAGTTTTTCTTTATTAGTGAACTGAAGCTTCCTGCTGGGCTTGTAGGAGTAACTCACGGTAGGCAGAATGTTCTAGCACACTACAGTGTGTTAAAGTAATATCAACAACAGCAAAATAATATGGCAATGTGGAAGCCTCAGCATGCATTCATGCCAAATGGTTCATGTTGAAATGGAAAACACAAAGATTATTTTTCAGTAAGAAAAGAAAATCAATATTTTAAATCAATGCCAGTCATAGGGAACAGTGAGAACAAGTAACAAAAGACCACAAAGCACCTTTGGGAACACTCAAAAGAAAAATGCAATAAGTATAAAACCATTATACCAAAATAAAAGCTTCTTTGCCCTACATGAGGACGGATTTGCAAGACATAATCAGAAACCATAGTGACACTAATTTTTCGTGTTGCCACTTCCAACCACTTATAAAAAATTAAAGAAAACTTAGTTAGGTGACCAAGTTAAAGTTCTTTGAAAATACCATATTAGTGGCCATCTTTCTTGCCCACTTGTCATGGTTTAGTCTTATTTACTTTTAACTGCTATGCTGCTGTATGCAAGAGTCCCTTGCAGATCCCAGATCTGTACGTGCATCCTAGTTCTGATCTGCCTATACGCCGTGCGCCCAGAGGATAGGCAGGTGGGCTCT